GTTTAGGGAGTGAATCAGCAGATAGGAGCCCTCTTTGTTTCTGTCCTGTTTCTATGATAAATAGACAAAGCTTCCTACATGGTTAACATAATTACTGGAATGTTATTTGGTTAGATAAGTGCATCCTCACCTTTTTTTCACACTGTAGCATACTGTGGTATATAATGATATGGCACTCTGTAAAGCTGAACTGGCAATCATCTTGTCCTTTTACCACAATCCTGGTCTGATTATTCAGACCTCTGAGAGGATTAGTATCTTAGCTACTGTGACTTTTTTAAAAGTTTTTTTTTTTTCATTTTTTAATGATACAGTTCCATAAGTTCGGGGGTTTCTTTCCCCTCCTCCCCATTTCCCTCAGTGCTATCCTCTATATTATTACAATAGTATAGTCCTTTAAAAACAGTCACAAGTTCGTGATACTTCTATGTAAGTGTAGGCATAGAAAATTGTAGTTATAGACAGTGGTAGAAAGTCCAGTGTCCTATTGTCAAGGTGTATTTAACAGCTCCCTGATTGTGGTTGTGGCCTGGGAGGGCAGTAGTGGATGGCCCAAAGCTTTGGACCCTGCACCTGTATGGGAGACCTGGGAAGAAGCTGCTGGCTCCTGGCTTTGAATCGGCACAATTCTGGCCATTGCAGCCACTTAGGGAGTGAACCAGCAGATTAAAGATCTTTTTCTCTGTCTGTTCTTTTTGTACAACTACCTTCCCAATAAGAACAAAATAAATCTTAAAAAAAAAAATTAGGAGCCTGAACTCAATCCATGTTTCCAGTGTGGTTTGGATTCAAACAATTGAATTTCAATCTTTTTAATAGCTGAGTAGTATTCCTTAGAGTAGATGTACCACAGTTTCTTTATCCAGTCTTCTTTCAGTGGGCATATAGGTTGTTTCCATGTTTTTGTTCTTGTTGATTGTGCTGCAATGAATACAAGGGTGCAAGTTGCTTTTTCATTGTCAGATCCTTTGGATATATTCCCAGGAGTGGGCTGCTGGGTCACGTGGTAAGTGAATTTTCAGTTGCCTTAGTGTTCTCTACACCAACTTCCATAGTGGCTGCACCAGCCCATGCCATTGCTTTTGTGCTTTAGTTGATGACATATTGGATGTATTTGTGTGGATCTGTTTCTTAGATTTTTTTTAAGTTTAACTTTTTTTTTGTTTTTATTTTTAATTTTATGGTACAATTCCATAGGTTCTTGTATTCCCTCCCCTCCTTAAGTGCCCACCCCCCACTGATTTTCCCTGTATTATTGTAATAGTATAGCCCTTCATAAGGAGTTATGATTCCATCAGTCTGTTATTTAAGCGTGCCCTGATGTTGTTGGTACAGACAATGCCAGACAGTCCAGCATCCCATTGTCTAGGTATGTCCAACAATTTCACTGGGAGTCCATATTTGATTCTTACTGTGTTCTGTTGATCTATCTCTGTCAATATCATACATTTCAAATAATGTGCGTTAACATTGAAATCAGGCTCCTCCCATTCTATTCTCTTTAAAAACTTTCAAAAAGCGATTTTACTTCCTTTAGTTTTCTATATAAATGTTAGAAAAATCTTGTCTGTAGCTATAAAAATCTTTCTGAGATTGTGATAAGAAATTGGTTAAACCTACAATACATATTACTTGCAGGAGAATATGTATCATTACTATGTTGAAAATTATAATCCATGAACATACGTATACCTCAATTATTTTACATATTCTTTGATTTCTTTCATCGTCTAATTTTCAGCATTTATGTGTTGTAGATTTATATTGATGCTTTTCTATTTTTTTAAAAATTAAATGCCAGTATGTTTTACATTCTGATATCCATGCATTTGTTGTTGATACATGGGAATTCAGTAGATTTTTTTGTTTGTTTATCATGTGTTTTATTACCTTGGTGGACTGTTTCGCATCTTCTGTATAGATATTTGGATTATTTGCAGATTCCTTTGTAGCAGTGGATTTTTTTTTCTGTAGCTACTTGAATATATAACAGTACCAGATTCTTCCCATTTTTGAGTCTAAAGAGGTATTACATTCCAAATCCTGAAGATACTAAGAACTCATGGTATGACTGAGGATTAGGGAGGAAGTTAAAATGACAGCAAAATTTTATTCCTGATTGAGTGAATGTCGTTCTGTTACTTGAAGTAGGAAACTCAGAAGTAAAATACAATGAATTCTGCTCTGAATATGTTGATTTTTTTGATGCTTATAGAACATCTCTATTGAGATATTGGTAATATTTGAAGTAAAGACTTGGGATAAAGTATGGAATTAGATGAACAGTTTAGGGTTATAATACAAATTTTTACATTGAAATGTCAGCTGATATTGTGCTTGAATATATGTAGAATGGCTAAAGAGCTGATGAAGAAATGCTAACAAAGACCATTTAGAAATACTGAAACAGAATGAGAAAAATGTGCTACCACAGAAACCACAGATATTTCTATCACTTTTCCAGGATTATCTTAGAAAATTTAGCCAAATGTTTCTGACCTCATCACCTGCCTGCTCCCATCACCCTGTAGTCATTCTGTAGTAGTTATTTCCATTACTGTTTCTTCCTATTGTCTAACATTCACCACTCTGCCACATTATTGCTTATTGTTTTTGTTTATTTCCCTATCAGGATTTTGTTCTTTGAAGGGGAGAGCTAGATCTTGTTCTTTATTTTTCCTACCTATGACTGTTGAAGTAAAGTAGGGATGGCCATTGTTTTTTTTAAAGATTTATTTTTATTATTTTTTCATTGGAAAGGCGGATATACAGAGAGGAGAGACAGAGAGGAAGATCTTCCATCCGATGATTCACTCCCCAAGTGAGCACAACGGGCCGATACTATGCCGATCCGAAGCCAGGAGCCTCTTCCGGGTCTCCCACATGGGTGCAGGGTCCCAAAGCCTTGGGCCGTCCTCGACTACTTTCCCAGGCCACAGGCAGGGAGCTGGAAGGGAAGCGGGGCTGCCGGGATTAGAACCGGCGCCCATATGGGATCCCGGGCGTGCAAGGCGAGGACCTTTAACCACTTGCGCCACCGCGCCGGGCCCGGGATGGCCATTGTTAAAGACTTCAGGGGAGTGGAGGAAGAGGAAATGAGTACAGGTGTTGGGATTTGTTAATTACTGTCCTTAGGGAACGGGTCCTCTCTAGAAAGATGACAGGTGAATGGATAATTTTATACCCCCTCCTGTCTTGACTAATTATGTTTTTTTAACCTTTGATCCTTTGATACATTGTTTCATCATGAAAAAATAGTACTGCTTCTTGTGACCTGTGAGAAGGCCACTGTTCTTCCAGATTCCCTTCTCAATGCTCAAACTACAGCCTCCTGCTGTGTTAGATACTGATCAACTTCCGCGGCATTGGCTATTATTGTATTAATGACACTTCATTGTTCTTTAACATCTATGCCCATATCTTGAGTACATTATGATTTATATAATCTCATTTCCTATTACATTCACAGTATGTGCACTAAATACGTAAATATCATTTTTTGTGGAGGGGGACTGTGGGTCCTCTAAGCAGTGACTTAGCTGACTGTGGCACAGCACCCACCCCAGAAATCATGTTTAGATTTTTATGTACCATTACAAAACTATGTCAGGGTTTGGCTGTTTGTTTGTTTTAATCTAGATATCTCCCTTTTAAATTCAGAGTTAACTAGCTGCCCCAAACAGTTAAAGCCAACTTGAAGTCTAAGTAGATGACTACAGTTATTATTAATGTATTTATATAAAAGATCCCTTTGATAAACATCCTCAGTTCTCTGTATAGGAACTTGTTTTCAAGTTGTGTTGTTGATACAATTTTTGTTGTTATTTATTTAGATTTTTGTTTATTTGAGAGGCAGAGAAAGACCTCAAGCAAATGCAAGCAATATTCTGTTCGGGTCCCTGTATAGATCAGCAGGGCTGGTCTGAGCTAGGCTGGGAGTCAAGGACTCGATCCAGTCTCCCTAGTGAGTGGTAGAAACCTAATTACTTGAGCCATCACTGTTGTTCCCAGGATACACACTGGCTTGAAGCTGGAGCCAGGATTTGGGCTGGGCATTCAACCCTGCCCTGATCTAGGAAGTGGGTGTCTAAATTAATGAGTAAGCTAAAGGCCCACCTTAATTACTAGATCCTTAAAACTGATTTTTCACGTCTTTTGCTCATGGGCTCCAGGAGACTAGAAATCAGTAATTTTAGTTTTTAGTTTTGTAAAAAGTACTTGTGTATTCATAGCATAATTTTTGCTTTATAGTAGTCATGTTTAAATAACTGCAAGCTCCCTTCACTGAGGTTCTAATAATAGCATAATAAAATCTGTAGCGTAGTTTTGTTATAACATTGAATTTTTGTTTGAATTCCATCTTTTTTCCTTTTGAAAGTAATTACATTTTTGTTGAAAACTTTTTTTAAAGACTTGACTTATTTATTTAGATTGGAAAATTAGATTTACAGAGAGAAAGATAGAGAGAAAGATGTTCTGTTCTCTGATTGACTCCCCAAGTGGCCACAATGGCCAGTGCTGAGCTGATCTAAACCCAGGAGGCAGGAACCTCCTCTGGGTCTCCAGCATGGGTGCAGGGTCTCAGGCCTTAACCCATCCTCATCTGCTTTCCCAGACCACAAACAGGCAGCTCGATGTGAATTAGAGCAGCTGGTGTACAAACTGACATCCACATGGGATTCAGGTAGATGCAAGTCGAGGATTTAGCCCCTAGGCTGTTGTGCTTGACCCTTGTTTAAAACGAGTAAGGGTATTATAAATGATTACTTTAATATGTAAAAATTACTCATCATAGGACCCATCTAGTAATTTCTGGTTGTATATTTTACTCTCAGTAGATTAAGGTGTGTTTGTCTTTACAATTGCAGTAGAGCCAATAAAACACTAGGATTTTTACTTTGCTTTTAAAACACAAACTTGTATTCAGTAGCTCCATGTAACAGGTAATTTAAGTGGAGAAAGTTGGTTGGATTAAACAAAAAAACCTTTCTCTTTTTCAGATTGCAGCAATTCTTCGGAAACGAAAATTAGACTATTATTTACATAAACTGCTTCCTGAGATCCTACAGTCTGCTTCCTTTCTGACAGCGAATGGGGCCTTGTACATAGCTTTCTTTTGCACTTTAAGGTTGGTATTCACAGTCACCACCAAATGGTAATGCAAATTCCTTGGTGAAATGGAAACAGATGTTTATATATATATGTTATGTAGGTCACTACCTCAAATTTTTTTTTTGTTTAATGTGTGAAATGACATTTATCTCAAAGAAATATTTGTAAAACCAGAAGTTGTGGGCCTCATGGTCTCAGCTTGTAATGGAAATTTCAAGTTATTTCAAAATAATGTACCAGAATGGTTTAATATACCACATATTTCCTAAAGCCTGCTATATTTACCAAATTGTCAAACAAGATTTCTTAGATTTTAAATTTGATAGATTTGGAATTTAAAGAACATAGATTAGGACCACATAAAGGGAACAGACTTCAAAAGGACCGTGGAATTAGCATATTCTATATAAAATAATAAGTTTATTCTTTGCAATGCTATTGGTTATTTGGTACTGATTCAGTCTTATATACATTATTTATATTGTATGTTTTATGTATCTGAGATACAGATAGAATTTAACATTTTAACTGATGTGACAGTACTAATGTTTATTAGCTATTTACTTCTTCTTTTCCATTCTTTTTCACCCCCAACAATTGTTGAAAAATGCAAGGTAGTATTTTTAATATCTTTTAAGTTAAAATATTAACCTCAAAATATCCCTGTATTAGGGTTCTTCATATAGCTCTGTAAATATATTTTACCTGAAACTTAATATGTAATTCCAAGTGTCTTTTGGATTTTCTCTTCCAGAGCATTTATATTATAAGCTTTGATTATACAGTAAGTAATTGCTGAAATTTTTATGCCAGTGAGAAAGTCATGCTTTTAAATTGGCTTGTGTTCTTTGAACCCATTTGGTTAAATCCTGGAAGCAAAAAGTGGGGTAGTTAAGATCGTATCAGTGGGGCCCAGCTTGATAGATTAATGATTATAGTCCTCACCTTGCGCGCCCGGGATCCGATATGGATGCCAGTTCTAAGCCTGGCAGCCCCACTTCCCATCCAGCTCCCTACTTGCGGTCTGTGAAAGCAGTGGAGGACGGCCCAGAGCCTTGGGACCCTGCACCCATGTGGGAGACCTGGAAGAGACTCCAGGTTCCTGACCTTGGATTTGCTCAGCTCCAGCCATTGCATTCACTTGGGGAGTGAACCAACGGATGGAAGATTTTCCTCTGTCTCTCCTCTTCTCTGTATATCTGAATTTCTAATGAAAATAAATAAATCTTAAAAAAAAAAGATAGCATCAGTGTTCCTCTTGTAACTTACTCATCAAGTCCATTTTCTTTTAGTGGGTACATCCAGTAATTTGTTAATTTCTTTGTGGATACTTCAAAATTAAAAACCATTTACTTTTTCATTTTATTTGAAAGGCGTAGAGACAGAGATTTTCCATTTGCTGCTTCACTCCACAAATATATCCAACAGTTAGTGTTGGACTAGGCCAAAACCATGGAGCCAGAACTGCTATCCTGATTTCCCATGTTGGTGGCAGGGACTCAATCACTTGAGCCATCATCTACTACCTTCAAGGGTTCACATTGCCAGGAAGCTGGATTGGAAGTGAAGAAGCTAGGAGTTGAACCAGGAACTCTGATAAGGGTAGTGGGCATCCCAAGTGAATACCTAACCACTGAGCCTAAGACTCATCTTTATGGTTTTAATACTGGAGGGAAATTTATATCCATTCTTCTTCTAAGACCAAATGAGATTAGGCACGTTCAGGATGGTATGGCTGTAGACTGCATCCATTTTTATTTTATTATTTTATTTTATTTTAAAAAAATATTTATTTATTTATTGGAAGGTCAGATATACAGAGAGGTGGAGAGACAGAGAGGAAGATCTTCCATCCGATGATTCACTCCCCAAGTGAGCACAACGGCTGATGCTATGCCGATCCAAAGCCAGGAGCCAGGAGCCTCTTCCGGGTCTCCCACGCGGGTGCAGGGTCTCAAAGCTTTGGGCAGTCCTTGACTGCTTTCTCAGGCCACAAGCAGGGAGCTGGATGGGAAGTGGAGCTGCCGGGATTAGAACCGGCACTCATATGGGATCCCGGGCATTCAGGGAGAGGACTTTAGCCACTGTGCCGTGCCACCGGACCCTGCATCAATTTTTAAAAGGAAGGTTTTGGATACTCATTTCTGTAATTCAATTAAAAGGGCAATTTCATTCATAATCCCTTTAATACATATTTGTTTATTTTCACCTATCTGAAAAACAAGCAGAGAGAAAGAGGGAGAAAGCTTGTGTCCTTTGATTCTGTCCCCAAAGGTCCCCTGAGCCATGATCTGCTGTCCTCCAGGATCATTAGGAGAAAGCTGAACTGGAAGTGAAGGAGCTGGAAACTTGATTGTATAAGAAATCTGGGGCCCGGCGCGGTGGCGCAAGTGGTTAAGGTCCTCGCCTTGCACGCCCAGGATCCCATATGGGCACCAGTTCTAATCCCGGCAGCCCCGCTTCCCATCCAGCTCCCTGCCTGTGGCCTGGGAAAGCAGTCAAGGACGGCCCAAAGCTTTGAGACCCTGCACCCGCGTGGGAGACCCGGAAGAGGCTCCTGGCTTTGGATCAGCATAATATCGGCCATTGCGCTCACTTGGGGAGTGAATCATCGGACGGATGATCTTCCTTTCTGTCTCTCCTCTCTGTATATCCGCCTTTCCAATAAAAATAAAATAAAACTTTAAAAACAAAAAAAAAGAAATCTGATATGGAATACAAGTGCCCCAAGCGGTAGGTTAGCTCACTGTGCCATAATACCTTCTCCTGATTGTGATGCTTTTTTTTTTTAATGTTTATGTAATTTCTCCAGCACTTTTTAAAACAAGATTTATTTATTTTTTATTGGAAAGTCAGATTCACAGAGAGAAGGAGACAGAAAGATCTTCCATCCGCTGGTTCACTCACCAAGTGCCCACAAGGTTGGAGATGAGCCAATCTGAAGCCAGGAGCCAGTTGCTTCTTCCAGTCTCCCTCTTGGGTTCAGGGTCCCAATGCCTTGATGTATCCTTGACTGCTTTCCCACAGGCTGGAAGCTGCATGGGAGCTGGAAGTGGAGCAGCTGGGAAACTTTAGCCATCAGGCTACGGTGCAGGGCCCTGTGGTGAGGCTTGATGACTATCTGTGCATCAGTCCACGTAGTAGCTACCCCTGTAAAGCGCAACTTAGTAACTGACCAACTTTATTCATATTTGTTATAATTTTTGCTTGCTGCTTTTTACTTTTTGAAACATATTTTTTTTGAAAGGAAAGAGAAATTTCCTATCTTCCACTTCCCTTTTCTTTCTTTAAAAACTGAAGGAGGTATTGGCATGGAGATGTAGGCATTCTCAGCCTCAGCCTGCAGCTCCAGCATCTCATCTGGGTGCTGATTTGAGTTCTGGATACTCCATTTCCAATCCTGGTCTCAGTTGATGACTGGGAAAGCAGTTGAGTCTTTGGGCTCCTCAACCCCTGTGGGAGAGTTGAAGGAAGCTCCTGGCTCCTGACTTCAGATTGGCCCAACTCTGGCCGTTGTAACTATTTGGGGAGTGAACCAGTAAATGCAATAGCTCTCCTTCTCTTTCTGTAACTGCCCTGCTAGCAGAAATATGTAAATCTTTTTTTTAATATTTAAGTATTTTTATTAGAAAGGTACATTTATAGAGAGAAGGGGAATCAAAGATCTTTTGTCCGCTGCTTCAATTTCTAAGTGGTCACAATGGCCAGAGCTGAGTTAATCTGAAGCCAGGAGCCTCCTCTAGGGGTCTCCCACACAGTTGCAGGAGCCCAAGGCCTTGGACCACCCTCCACGGCTTTCCCAGGGAGCCAGAAGGAAAGTGGAGCTGCTAGGATACAGACTGTGCAAGGATTTAGCCACTAGGTTATTGCACTGGGCCCAAGAATAAGTAAATCAAAATAAAACAAAGCAACTGATAGTTATTTGAATTATATTAGGGACTAGGAATATATATTCTTATGAATGAAAAATTAAAATTTTATTAAAAATGAAAAGGCTATTAGGAGCATAGATGGAAAAGCATTTGTTAAATATCAGGTGTTCAAAAAATAATAGTAGTAGTAATAGTAATCACAGTTAATCTCTGCTTAGGCTCTGTTGTGTACCTACATGGTGCTGGGAAATATCTCATTTAGTGTTCATGACAGCTGTATGATGTGAGAGAGGTAATCTTAGTATTCCTGCGTGGTAAGTAAAGATACTTGAGGACACAGGGAATTTGAGTAGCTAACTGATTTGAATCCAGGGTATGGATCGCTGACGACGGTGACTAAACTACTGGAGGGAGAGATATCCAATAATTTGCTGTTTTAAGAGTCTTAACAGGTGATGGTAAGGGACCTAACAAAGGCAAGGACAGTGAGTTGCAGAAGAATTTGAGATAGCAATTGCAGAATTTACATCTCAGATTTAATGTGTGTGGTAAGGGAAACAAATTTGAGGATAAGTCTGTCAATTTTAAATGGATAATGGATATCATTAAGGAAAAATAATCTATGGCAGCAGGCAAGAGAGATGAGTTTGGTTTGAAAATATTGAATTGATGCTGTGGAACATTTGTATAGAGAATGTATTGATAGGATAAACTTCTCTTTGTATTAATGGAAATGAACAACTGAAAATTTCATGCAAAATTCAAATTTGAATTTCAGGAAAATACTTGGAAAATTTTACTCATGGACTCCTGGCTTTGGTGCCGCTTTGCCAGCATCTTATATGGCCATTCTAATCGAAAGAAAAAGCAGGTAAGATTTTACATGTCTTTCAGTAGAACTGATTATGTGTCCCTTATTCCAATTAGAAATTTTTGTTTTGTTTTGTGATAGTCCAGTATTAGGAAGTATTTCTAGATGCATTTGTTTTTAGTTCTGCAAATATCTGAGTGAAAGTTAATATTGTAATTTATATTTAAGTCTATAAAATACAGAAATATAACATACAGCAATACTACTCTTTGGTGTACTGAAATTGTGGAGTGCTATGAAGTAGTAAATACATGTTTTTGATTTTTTTTAAACTTTGGGAGACAGGTGGACAAACGCAGAAAAAATACTTCCCAAATGCTGGTTCATTCGCTAGGTGCCCAGCGACTTGGAGTCCTATCCAGTTCTTCATGCTTGCAGAAAGGGCCCAAGTACACAAGCAGCAGGACATTGGCATCAAAAGCATGTCCGGGAGCTGAACCCAGCCACTGTGTAATGTGGTACGGGCATCCCAGTAGTTATCTTAATTGTTTAACGAAACGACTGCCATGGCATATGCAAATTCAGTACAAAACTTTTCCATTTTTATGACATCATTTCACACCTAAGAAAATTAAAGTAGTTTTATATTATGTAGATTTGTACTTTGCTTTAAGGCTCATTTGTTTACCTCGTTTAAATCAGGTTTTAATTCTTCTTGTCATTACAAATGTTTTTGATTGTTATCAAATTGAATCTTTCCCTCTGAACCAATAGGATTTCTATAAAATATTGCAAATTTATGTGAACTGTCCAGTCAGATAAAGTGGAGGCTTTTGCTCTCTCATTAATAATAACTTTAAAATCTATTTTTTATTTTATTCACTTGAATAAACAATGAGATAAAGATATGTTCCTGTCTGCTGGTCACTTGCCAGGTTCTTTCAATGTCAGCATTATGAAACTCAATCCGGTTCTTCCAGTAGGTGGCAGGAACCCAGTTAGGGAGCTGAGAATGCCAGCTGCCAGGGCCTGTCAGGAGTCAGGAGCTGTTGAACCCTGATGGTCTGATATGTGTCACAGGTGTCTAAATTGCTTGGCTAAATACCCACTCCCAGTAATTTTTTTCTCTTTTGTCTGAGAGATTTATCTTCTTCTGTTCCAAAGAATCAATATGGGGTAATATGTTAAAAACGTTTTTCTTGAAAATGCTTATTCCAGTTAATGACTTCCTAGTGAGAGTAGCAATGGGTGTTCTCAGTCAGACCGCTGAAGCACCTCACAATTAAGAGCAGCTGAATTTTTGTGTTTGTGTTTCATTTTATCATGGTACTTTGGGTGTTTGGTATTGCTAAACTTAAAGGAGAATTGGATATAACCGCAGCGAAATGAAGTCAGTAATGGTAGAAACATAGCAGTGAGAAAGTGCAGTATGGACTTTGGAACTGTATTGTCTAGCTCTGTCTGGCTCTGTCACTTGCTGTGTGACCTCTATGGCTTTTTCTTTATCTTAAAAATGAAACTAGTGATAATTATTTTTAGAGTGGCTCAGAGAATTAATTGAGTAATACATGTAAAAATTCTTAAGAATTTGGTATATCTTAAGGATTACTATTAACTAAATTAGTGAGTGATGCTGAGCATCTTTGCATGCCCTTTTTGTCCATTTTCATATTTTCTTTGGAGGAATGTCTGTCTATTCATTTAGATCCTTTTCTCAGTTTTTAAATTTGGCATTTTTTTTTCTTTGAAATATATTTATTTGAGAGAGAGAGAGAGAAAGAAATGTAGCTCCCATCTGCTGATTGGTTCCCCCAGGGCCTGTACCATTTGGCATGGGCCAGGCCCAAGCTGGGAGACAGAAATGCAGTCTGTATCTTCCAAGTGGGTGGCAGGGATCAACTATTTGAGCCATCCTTTGCTCCCTCTGACGGTGTGCATCAGCAGGAAGTTAGAATCAGGATCAGAACACGCACTCTGGTATGTGGGATGGGCATCTGAAGTGGCATCAGAATTGGCAGGTCAAGTTCTTGGCCCAGAGTTACTTACCTTTTAATTCCTGAATTGTAGATTTCTTTTGAAGTTTTAGGGTTCAGTCCTTTGCTAGATACACAGTTTGCACCTGTTCAGTGTGTATGTTTTCACTTGATTGTGTCTTTTGAAGCACAAGAATTCTTGGTTTTGATGAAGTCCAGTTATCTATTTTACTCTTATGTTGATTATGTTTTTGCTGTCATGTTTAGGAACTCTAACACAAAGATTTACCTGTATGTCTTTATTTCTCTTTGTCATTTTTATGAGTTTAGCTGTTTTTCTATTCATCTATTCATCTTAACTCTTTCAGCTATTTTGCATTAATTTGTGCATAAGGTGTGAATAGAGGTGGGTATTGCATTTTTAAGTCTCATCTCCCCCATATTTTGTACTATTTATAAATGCAGGTGATTTTTGCATGTCTATCGTTACTTACATGACTCCTATGACTGATTAGCTCTAGTTTAGATACCTTCATCATTGTGTCCTTTAGTTCCATTTTTTTGTCTTATTCTGTTGATCCATTCCCCAGATGCTTACACCACTTGTAGACATTTTTCCCTGACTTCACAGGAGGATGCTCAGTGTTTCATCATTAAGTCTGATTTTTGCTGTAGCATGTTTTTATTTTTATTTTTTTATTTTTGGAATGCTTTTATCAAGTTTGAAAGTTCACATTTCCAGCTTGATGAGAATTTTATTTTGAATGGGTATTGTATTTTGTCATTTGTCTCTTTTGAATCAGTGATATGATCGTTTGACTTTTCTTCCTTAGCCTGTAGTATTTTTTTAAGTATTAGTGAAGTCAAATTTGGTGATAATACTGTTTATTTACATCTGTGTTTCTTAACCTTGGCACTGTTAACACATTTTGAGTCAGGTAATTCCATGTTGACCAGTCTGTCTTGTGCATTGTACTCATTCATGCATTAGAATTCCCTTCCTGTTCTTACCACATCAGGACAACCAAAATGTCTCAACATATGAAATGTCCTGATGGAACAAGCTACTCTTTGTTGAGAATTATTGAGCTATATCTTTAGTACCTTTTTTGGACTGGTTTATCATTTACTGAGAGAATGGATTAAGAGGTCCATCTATGGTTTTACACTGTCATTTTTTTTTATCAATTTCTGTGATGCTTTTATTAGAATATGTATATTGTCAATTCTTCATGATGCTTTGAAGAATATGAAACATTCTCCTATAGCTTGGATACTTTTTCTTCTAAAACATTTTTATTTGATATTAATGTAACATAGTATACATGATATAGTTTTCTTTCTGATTAATTTCAACTGTCTGTATCTTTGTGGTCATACTATATTTTATCAGAACCACTGTAGTTGACTATTTTAAAACATCCGTTCGTCTACGGCCATACCATCCTGAATGTACCTGATTTCGTCTGATCATAAAACATCTGTTCTATCAGTTTTGCTTTTTTTTTTTAAGGGTTTGTTTACTTACTTCAAAGAGTTACAAACACAGAATGAGAGACAAAATGAGAGCTTTTATCTGCTGATTGACTTCTCATATGGCTGTCATGGCTGGGGGTGGGCCAGGGCTGAAACCAGGAGCCACAAACTGCATCTAGGTCTCCCACATGGGCCAACTTCCTTTCCTTTTCTTTTTATTAATTTTTTAAAAGTTAGTTATTTTTTGCATTGGAAAGGCAAAGTTTAAAGAGAGAGAGAAAGCAGAGAGAGATATCTTCCATTTGCTTGTTGACTCCCAGAGTCAACAGCCAGAGTTGGCCAGTTCAGAGCCAGGAACTAGGTGGGGATCCCATGAGGGTGCAGGGGACCAAGGACTTGAGCCAGCCTGTGCTGCTTTCCCTGGTTTGAATTGGGAGCCAGGAGCTTCTTTTCGGTCTCCAATATGGGTATAGTAGCCCAAGGAAGGAGGCCAGCCTCTGCTGCTTTCTCAGGCCAAAAGCAGGGAACATGAATTGAAAGTGAAACAACTAGAACATGAAGCAGCACCCATTTGGGATGTCATTGCAGAAGTGAGAGGCTTAGCTTGCTGTGCCACCACACTGGCCCCTTTCTCTTAGGCCTGTAGCAGGGAGATAAGAAGTGGAATGGCTGTGATGTGAACTGGCATCTATGTGGAATGCTAGTGTCCTGTTTGGGATACTAGTGTCCCAAGCTATTCCATGGTACTGGCCTCCTAGTTGTTCAATTTAATTAGATTCATGTAGTTCATTTTTCAATGCTTTTATTTATATGGCTGAGTTTGACCTTTTTGACCTATTCTAATATTTGTTTCATTTATTTATTTATTTATTTATTGTTCTTCGTATTTTTTTTTTTTTGCAGTATTTAAGTTTGAATTAAAAGTGTGTGTATATATGTGTGTGTGTGTGTGTGTTTGCTCCATGGGCTATGCCATGCATACTTAACCTTTCCAACTTCTTAGTGTTAGTAAATTACAACCTTGCAGAATGAAAAGCTGCTTATGTAAGATATTTTTTTTTCTCTTTAAATACTAACATTAATTTAAATTGGTATTAGAAACAGTAAGTTCTTAGATCAAAACAAAAGATTTTCTAGAAATGGAGTGATAATATTTATTTGGGTTGTATGCTTATTTACTTTTTTTTCCTGTCTTGGTAGGTGAAAAAAAAATTTTTTTTTAGATTTATTTATTTTCATTGGAAAGTCAGATATACAGAGAGGAGGAGAGACAGAGAGGAAGATCTTCCGTCCAATGTTTCACTCCCCAAGTGAGTACAACAGCTGATGCTATGCGGATCCAAAACCAGGAGCCAGGAACTTCTTCCGGGTCTCCCACGCGGGTGCAGGGTCCCAAAGCTTTGGGCCGTCCTCGACTGCCTTCCCAGGCCCCACAAGCAGGGAGCTGGATGGGAAGTGGAGCTGCTGGGATTAGAATCGGCATCCATATGGGATCCCGGGACTTTCAAGGTGAGGACTTTAGCTGCTAGGCCATGCCGCCGGGCCTGAAAAAAAATGTTTTTATATTAATTACGTTGCATTATGTGACACAGTTTTATAGGCTCTGGGATT